TAGGGTTTAGGGTTTGGGCCCACATTAGGAGCAGAGTTATTGTAGGGGCCTAAAATAATTTACCAATACTTTTTTAAGGGGTTCCTTATTTTTTTTAGGTATAGTACAACATACCCCGAAACCCTACTCTAATTTTTCAGGTCCCTATATTAGGCAGCCTGTCACCTGTTTTCGGGGTACTACGGTTGATGATATATATCCTGCATTACCCGTAATAAGGACTATACCATAATTCCCATAGTTTAGGGTCCTTAAAGTAATGCAGGATTTATATCATCAACGGTATGATATCCCTATATGTACTCCCATAGTTCGCCTGGGATTCTGGACAAGTAAGTAGTTTGGCATGCGAGTTCTATGTTCTGGCTTGAAGAGTTTAGGCTTCAGGCTTTTAGGAAAGGTTTAGGGTTTAGGGTTTAGGGTTTAGGGTTTGGGGCGGTTTCGGGTGGCTTAAGTTTATGTAGTTTAACTAAGAGGGCTTTCACAGGGGTTTCATAGGGAGCTCAAGCGTGTTTATGCACGAGGTGTCCTGAACAATTAATGAGACTATTCCCTAGTGCTCCGTGTTTATCATGGGGTTCAGGGTTTAGGGTTCATACTCCAGTGCAAGGCCTCTATAGTAGGTGGTTGTACAGGGGGGTTCATAAGGGGTTCAGCAGTTCTAAAAGGGCTTACATGCGAGGAGTCAGAAGGTCAAAGGGGCTTTGGGTTTTTTAGGGTTGAGGGTTTAGAGGTCCGCATTAAAGGGGCTGAAGGTTTTGATGCATCCTGAATCCCTAAACCCTAAACCCTAAACCCTAAACCCAAAGGCCTAAGGGGGCTGAAGAACTTGATGCATTATTAGTTAATGAGAGTTCAGATTGGCCGCGTAGCACTTCGAGGCTTGAATCTGCCGGATCGGAGATGGAGCAGATACTGACTGAGGTGAGGGCCACGCATCGACAGATCGACCTCCTCAGCGATCGCTTGTCACTAGATGTTCCACGCGGCGACATAGAGCATATGAGCAGCATGCTTGAGCTGTCAAAAGAGCTATGGGGGAAGGCGGAAGACCGTGGCCACATCGTGCATGTTAACATAGCATCAGTATGAATCACTTATCAAACGTAACCGTTAAGTTTGCCTAGTACGTTTGTAGAGTAGACGGATGGATGGATGGTATGACAAAGAAACTCACGAGCTATGATGGAGTTGAGCGTCCCAAAACCTCCACCCCTAAACCCTAAACCCTCCACCCCCTTGAGGCTACACCCTAAACCCTAAACCCCTAAACCCTAAACCCTAAAACCCTAAACCCTACTTGAGACTTTTGGGTTTCGGGTCTTGGGATTCTGGTGTCGGGCTGGTGGGGCCTGTTCAGTAGCACGATGACAACAGCGATCCTCCGGTGTTGTGTGCTCGATGAACGCTGGCTGGGCTTTGGGTGTAGGGTTTCGGGTTTTTAATTTAATGGAGTTGTAACGTTAGGCATTAACTACCCTCGAGAGCAAGACCATGGAAGAAATGTTGATGCTTGCTGTTTGTGGCTTGCCCGCTGGACTTCATCAGTGAGGTAGGTCTACCGCCACATAGCTGCCCTAAACCCTGAACCTGTACAAACAGCCGAAAAGCGAGAAGCTCTCATCAGAAGCCTTTCGTCGTATCTTGAGGCAAACTTCCAGGCCCAAGCGTTAGGGTTTCGGATTTAGGGTTTAGGGTTTAGGGCCTAAACCCCAAAACCTAAACCCTAAACTCGAAACCCTAAACCCGAAACCCTAAACCCTGAACCCCAAACCCTAAACCCGAAACCCTAAACCCTAAACCCCGGAGACTGCACCGACGGCCAAAGATCCGCAAACATCCTCAGAGCCCCCCAAAGCATTAAAACTCCCCAAGCAAGGCCTGATATCCTAAACTCTTGAAGCGGTTTGAGAAGCAAAGCTAGAGTCCCCTGATAGGGTTTAGGGTTTGTTTAGGGTTTAGGGTTTGAAGTTTGGGGTTTAGGGTTTGGGGTTTGTTTAGGGTTTAAAGTTTGGGTTTTAGAGTTTAGGGATGTTTAGGGTATAGGGTTTAAGGTTTAGAGTTTAGGGTCCTTGAAGCACTTAAGCCTTAAACACTTGTAGGTGTAGGGTTTAGGGTTTAGGGTTTAGGGAAGCGCACAACTCAAAACCCCACCTGATCCCTTTGCCACACTGTCACACCTCTTCGAAGGCCCCTGGCGCCAAGGCCGCATCAATCCAAGCAACTGGAAGAGGTGGCCCTGGAATTGAGGATACTGCGGGAGGGACTCCTTCACGTTGAGACTTTAATTTTAAATTTAGGGGCCTTAATAGTTAGAATAGGGTTTTGGGGCGCATTATACTAGAATTATATTAGAACTATAATAAGGAACCCCCCAAAATAGTATTGGTAATTCTTTATGCCCCTACATTAGGGTGTTGGGTACCTTCTTCGGGGGTCCGTTTCGTCAGGGGAGCAGTGTTTTGAGTCTCTGTGAGGCGGGCGTAGCCTCGTTTGCCCTCAGCGCTGCTTATTAGGTTTATACATGAAGGCGCTCGGGTTTAAGGTTTAGGACATAGGGTTTTGGGGAAAAGGGTAGAGGGCTTAGGGTGCAGGCTTTAGGGTGTGTACTACGTCTATAAACCCAAACACCCTAAACCCCTAAACCCCTAAACCCCTAAACCCTAAACCCGAACCCCCTGAACCCTAAACCCTAAACCCCAAAACCCCCTAAACCCCAAAACCCCCTAAACCCTAAACCCCTAAACCCTAAACCCCTAAACCTTGAACCCTAAACCCAAAACCCTGAAAGGGGCCCTTGTTTTAGAGCACCACTCATCTGGCGGAGGCGAAGTTCAGGGACGCGCGAAGGTGAGAAACCGGAGCCTCCTTGGTTCGTAGGGTATACAGGGTCTTCTAAAAGCAAGGGTCCCGTTTAGGGTTTAGGGTTGTAGGGTTTTAGGGTTTGGGGTTTAGGGTTTGGGGTTTAGGGTTTGGGGTTTAGGGTTGAGGGGGTTTAGGGGTGTAGGGTTTTGGGTTTAGGGTTTTGGGTTTAGGGTTCAGGGGTTCCTTAAAGGATCTAGACCCTAAACCCTAAACCCTAAACCCTAAACCCTAAACCCTAAACCAGAGTATTTTATAGGGCTTCTCTAAGGGTACTATCAGGGGACCCTAACTCGCAGAACTTCCAAAAATGAGCGCTTATGGTACCCTTCTAGAAGCCTTGTAGAGACCCTAGAAGGCTTATAGAAACCCTCATAGATCCCTTTAAGGAACCCCCTAAAAAGGGACCCTAACTTGGAGAACTTCCCAAAAAGAGCCCTTATAGTACCCTTGTAGAAACCCTTATAGATCCCTTTAAGGAACCCTCATAGATCCCTTTAATTAAGGAACCCCCTAAGAAGGGACCCTATGTTGGAGAACCTCCGCCAGATGAAGAAAAGGGAGGAGGAGCAGAAGAAGAGGCCAAGTTGCGGAAGCATCCCAGAGGGCTCAGGGGGGTGAGGAGAACTAAGGGCTGCGGGTTTAGGGTTTAGGGTTTAGGGTTTTAGGGTTTAGGGTGCTAGGGTTTAGGGTTTTAGGGTTTTAGGGTTTAGGGCTTCAGGGTTTTAGGGTTTTAGGGTTCAGGGTTGAGGGTCTAGGGTTTTCCTTTAAAGGGATCCTTAAAGGGTTCTAGGGCTACTATAAGGGTTTAGG